TTGAATCATGAAAATTAAAAGATTGAATTGAACCAAAAATTTTATTTGCCATTGGATTGAATGCCTTTTTGTATCTTTAAATAAAACCATTATTTAAAGGATTAAACATATATCACAAGGATTAAATTTTGCTACAAATGGCTTGCCATATTGCAGCACATAATTTTATGAAAAGTAGGTCATGTGATGGCTTAGCTGCAAAGGGCCTATTACTCAAGAACAAGTTCCAAAATTCCTAGACTCATCTAAAAGGTTGTTTGTTTCGATGTATTTTTTCGTAACATGATGTGGGTACTTAATATTGACAATAAAACATTCTGAAAATGTTGTAGCCAAAACAAACGTGTTCTTCATGTAATCAAGTCACATAATGGAATCTAACCTGAAACATAACCAGTAAAATGCATACATTCCAGTAGTATTAAGCCTTGGTCAAACGGCACATGATGGTCGATGATAGCTGATGATAGTTGGTGAAAATTCAGGGAGAATCATTTGGACAATCAAATATCATCAACTATCATGCACCATTTGGCCAGGCTTCTTTAAAGCCTGGCCAAACAATGCATGATAGTTGATGATAGTTGAATGATTCTCCCTGAATTTTCACCAATTATCATCAACTATCATCAACTATCATCAATTATCATCGACCATCATGCGCCGTTTGACCACGCCTTTAAACCCCAGATGATGTGGTTTTTCGCTCATTCCTGCGTAAGCAATGAACGAGTATCATGAGGTAGCAAATGTCGACGGAAGTTTGTAGAAGGAAGTTTGTAGAAGGAAGTTTGTGGACAAAAGTTTTTGGACGGAAGTTTGTGGATGGAAATTGTGGACCATAGACAGAAGTGAAAGTGTCCTCACCACCTTACCCCTCCCCCCTTCGGCTTAATAAAAGTCCTTCGATGTTGCAACAATTATAAGCAAGTGCAAAGAATAAAACATGATTGTATGGTGTAGTAAATTTTAACATCAAGTCAGAGTTTTGCNGCTTAATAAAAGTCCAAATAAACTTTGATGTTGCTGCAACAAGCAAGTGCAAAGAATAAAAAAGTGTTTGTATGGTGTAATAAATAAATTTTAACATCAAGTCAGAGTTTCTCAACCTCTGAAAATCGCAATATGGATTGAGAAGCTGATATGTTCACACCTAGGGGACCCTAAATGGGTTATTTTAACACATTACCACGAGGGAATCAACGAGGCAGTCATGGCAGCCATATTGGTTCAACACATATTTGCCTTCATATTGGTAAGTAATCATTGCTTTACTACTATGCTTTTCCTTTGGAACTCTTCAACATAAAACGCACACATCAATCATAACGGCCAAGATACTGCAGTCTCATCAAACTATTTATTCAAGCTCCAATTTTGAGACTTTAAAGGCTCGCTCGAACAAAAACTGCCATAGGATCTGCCTAAAATCAGGAAAACATACCACAAAACAATCTCTTATTAATAGTTGCTTGACATGGCTACCAGTCACATCAGATCAACAGCAGGAAATGTCATTGGGTTTATAATGATGAAGCTGGTTTGGACGTTTTAACTATAATGAAAAGGAAAAATACAACTTCATCATCCTTGGCAAGGTGAAGAAACGTTCTAGGAAAAACCAAATATACCTCATTTGGAGGTGTTATTACATGTAATTGGAACACGGTATCAGTTAAATAAGTTAGATAACAACATTTGTTTACAAGTTGGTGATAATGACATTACTTGTGTTATGTGTTTCCCGCTTATATGTGTTATGGCTGCCGGTGTCGTTCGCGTTCTCTTGATTTATTTTATATTTCTAGCCTATTCTGATGATTTTTCGC